AGTCGACAACTGTTAAGGACTCTCGTCGACGAAAATATTGTAAGAGATCTCCATGTAGTCTAGATGAAGGCCACTTGTTGAGTATACAGTGGCGAACAATCTTCAATGCATTGTCCTTCTTGCTAGCTTCTTTAATTGCTTCGAATGTGACCGGGAGTCAGGAAACTGCGTCTGCCAATACTTTGTGAACCTCAGCCCCAACATCTATGGCAGCTACAGGCACCTCCTCTTCTTGATTTGCATGTGAACCAATCAATCTTGAGAGGGTATCTGCCTATTCAAAATCCGTTGTCGGTTGATACTTTACCTTGAAATTATAGCCCAGCAGTGTAGTTGCCCATCGCTGTAGACGGTTTGCTGTATATACAGGGATACCTTTTTGGATCCAAAAACTGTCAGTAGCAGTTTATGGTCTGTTAATAAGGTGAAATGTCTGCCAAGCAGCATCTTGTGGAACTTTTTTGCAGCAGATATAGTGGAGAGGGCTTCTTTCATGCTAAATGCCTTAAGTGTGGCAAAATAGGACATATGAAGTCGGTCTGTAAAGCTACTGCTCAACTCGCCACTAGTGATGATAAACCTTCTAGTTCTGATTTTGTTAAGTCGGGTATTTCTAATGATCAGTTATCTTTATTCACGACTTCGAAAAGTAATTTGCATATTCAGAAGTGATTACGTACCACCCTTGATCGATTCCATAATATTATTGTTAACACAGGCAGTATAGAGTCCCTTCTTTCATTGAAAAACTTGAAATCTCTAGATTCTAACTTTGTAGTACGACTCGCTGAAGACACAGTATTGGGGATACTGGACACAAACTGCTTATCCGAGGATTATATGAATTGCTAATTCATGATAATTCCTAATATATGCCTTATGAATTCTAAGTTACTGAAACAAGACCGTTAATACTAGTTTTGAAAAATTTAGATAGGCTTAAAATTTTTGAAGAAAGTTATGATGCTTTACTTAAGGATTTGGAAGCTACCTGTGCTAACTACAGTAGAGGGAATGTGAATTCAACCCATCAAACTTCAAGTAAAGGGTGATTCAGTCTTTCTTAAAGGACGAATAATTCCTTATGGTCTCCGAGAAACAGTACATAAGATATTGAATGATTTGTGTACAAAAAGTATCATTGAACCAATTCAATCTGTTGCACAGGATACTCTTATTGTTACGCGATTGCAGTTTGATGGCAAGACCCCTAGAATATGCGGTGGCTGTAGATTAACACTAAGCTCCAGTTTGTTGAAGCAAACGTGTACAATGGAGGAAGCTGAAGATATTCTTAGTTGACTTCATAGGTCTAAGGTATCCTTGAAATTCGACTTAAAAGATGCTCATCTTCAGATTACTAGGGTCAATCTTCATCTAGTTCGACGACAATTAACACTCCTTTTAGTCTATTCAAATACAAGTTGTTCTCCAGTTATATTTGAGGAAGTGATTAATGATGAATTACGTGATGTTAAAGGTGTTGAAGTCTATCAACATGATCTTACTATTGATGGTTCTGATAAAATAGCTCATGGACAGTGACGCATTGCTTTGTTAAGTCGTTTGATTGAAAAAAATGCATCTAGCTTTGAATGTCTTGGATACCCAGTTGATGGTGATGCTTTTTAACCTGGTTTGAAGTGACTAGCCCACCACCAAATACCCACCTTTGAGAAATCTTACAGAACTGCGTTCACTTGTAGGTGCTCTTCTAAACTATTTCCGTTTTGTTCCTTAGTTTTCTTGTCGTGCTAATTGTTTGTTTCAAACATTGACATCCATTTCATTTAAATTGGATGAGGAACGAGGGTCGTGACTACTCAGTCAACTAAACTTTCTTGAAAGTGATGCTCTTCTTCAAACTTGCTCCCTCCTAGTGTATACCTTGTACTAATTACTGATGGATCATATGTAGGTATTGATGCAGTTTTGGAGCAGAAAGCTAGATCAGTGATCTGTGCTTCACTCAAACTTGCTGAACAAAGTTGTTCGCAAACTCAGAAGGAAGCATTAACTGTGTTCTGGGCTGTTAAACAACTTCATATATACTTGTTTTTAAATAACATCATCATTGTTACAGCAAGCAATTTAGAAAGATGGTATAAGTCAAAAACTCATCGTTTTAGATACACTTCATGGTCAGTATCTTGAATTTGAGTACTTCTTATCATCATAGTGTAACGCGACGTTCGAAACTCTTTTATTCAGATGTTGAGTAAGGCAATCAATTCATAATGACGTGATACTAATGCATTTGAGCTTATTGATAAAAGATATGATTGATTCTATCAAAGCGTTTGAGAAGGCAGAGTTCATGATTCACGTCCTTGCAATCAAGGACGGTTGTTCATTTGCCCACCGCGGTCAGCAGGTTGATTACGCAATATTGTTCCTTCGTCACACCGTGCTGTTGGGGAGAAGTCAAGTTTATGGATAATAAGTATTCACGTAGACCGTCGAACATCAGGGACTTCAGGATTTTCGTATGAAATGAGGGAGCTTCTACAGGCCGTTAGTTTGGAGGTTCACTGAGTCTTTCTTTCTTGAAAATTGATTTAATGTGAGCTAGCTTACAATTTCTGAGACCATGCATCAAATGAGGGGATGTGAAAGCATCACGTTAATCGGTTTTTCCGATATTAAAGTTGCTTCCCTCAGTATAGCAGAATGAATTATATATGCGCTTGGAGGTGTGTCATTATTTAGATGCTGAAGTCTTCGAAACACCAATCCAGCGCCCAGGTTCATTCCTGAGAGTCGTGTTGGGCTGCATGTAATGCTCCCGTCGATTTATTACGTGCGTCACGGTTGAAATATTTGAAAACAGTGTCTGACATTATCTCGGCAATGCTGTTCGTTTGACTATTAGGATCTTAAAACTGGGAAACTCCTCTTTTGGCTTTTCGAAGTGAGGCCGCGTGACGGAATAAAATTATCGGGTTGGAAGCCAATGCTTCGGAGACCTGTGTGATTCTCAAAACACCCATGGTCTTCGAAATAAAGTTTTATGGTAGATGAATTAATTCCCGATATAATCGTTGTCACAAAAAATTGGCTCCCTGTAGATATAGACTGTTCTCCCATCATTATAGGCTACATTTGTATTAGAAGGGTTAGTTTTAAGTCGCATTAGAGGAGGCATAATGTTATACGTTAGGGATCATTTTCGTATTCGTCCAGTCATATTATTGGCTCTAAAAGTGGTACATGTGAGGTAGGATGTTGTACAATGAAGTCTAGAAACGGGTTAGTGACTATAGGGGGAATATGCCGTAGTCCGTGTTGTCTTGCTGACGACTTTATTTTTGGACACATCTATTCTTGGAGTAAAGCAGAATGTTGTGTCATTATTGGAGACTTCAACCATTATTCATTGTGCACTTGTACAATGTATCGCAAAACTTACACATATTGACTTGAAACATGACCCGCCATTGCTGTACCTTGTCCCCACACACCACTGTGAAGATGTCATCGACATTCAGCACGTTCACTAGCGAATACTGATCACATTGTATGATGAGCTTTCAAAACGCATAAATCTTTCCTCAATGTCGTATAGTGGGACGCGAGGTGATCTTATACTAGCATTTCGTATCTTTTACTATGATTTGGGTGTCAGTATGCCTTATCTTTTTGTTCCCTACAGCACTAAAAATCTCCAAGATCATAGCAAGAAGGTTCACAAACCGCGATCTAATAAACTTAACGTGGGTTCCCGTTTTTCTCATCCCGTAGTTAGTAACTGAAACGCCTTACCCGAACAATTGATATCAGCCCCATCAACGAAAAATTTCAAGAACAAGCTAAACCTTTATTTGAAGGTAATCTTTCAGGTTCAACATAGGTTCACCAACCTACTATCCAAGTTACTGAAGACTGAAATACTGGCGGGTTTTCCAATTGGGTTGTTACACAGGGAGGCATAGGGCTAAGTCTTCAGATCTATTTTATATGAAAGAAATCAGATCGATATTCTATATTTGAACCCAAGTTATCATTTTTCTGTAAAAATAAGTCCTCAACTTATCAAATTACTTTATGTACACGGAAGCAATACATCTTTATATAAAGGTGTTCAGGCTTTCATTATCGTCACTGATACATTGCCTCAACTCTTTTATTACTCGCCTTATTAGTCTTATCCCTTTGTGCTGATGTGGTATGGCGAGTTGGATAAACGCACGTTTGAGTTAGGATCTATGTTGATTTTCACTAAACGACCGTAGATGAATGCATAAAGTTTTGATGTGATTACATTGTTTTTGTGTTAAGTGTATAAAGTGACTTTTCTAATATCATTATATAATGGTGTCTTATTTTCGACAAAAGTTTTGGGAAGCCGCCATAGAAAATTTGAGAGAATTGACACCAAAACCCCAATATTTTCCCAAAATTGCCTTTTAACCTTGGTGACGGTCATTTGGCTTTGGGGATTTCCCCAAAAATTTCCCCAAACTTTGGTGAAGGTTGTTTGACTTTGGAGGTCTCCTCAAACTTCGGGGATTGGGATCTGCTACTAAGACAGTAGTATTGATATACAGAGAATAGGTGAACGGTTTCGAACAGCATTTAAAAGCGGCAAACTCTACTAAGAAATATTCGAAACAAAAAGTTCCATCCCATTTGTCAACTTCCTAAACAACTATCTGTTCTATTTATTGACTAAATATTTTTCTAGTAAATTAATAGTCGTTCGTAAAATTCAGTGTTATAATCGTTGGGTCACGTGCTCAGATTTTCTAAATCTATTTCGGTCTATATGTTTATAATATATCAGAGGGTATCTAACATATGCCTCTTATCACCTTCGTTATCATTTGTTAATTAGATAAATAGTTATATTTAGCATCTAATATCTTAAAAGACTAAAATGTATAGTATTTTCTCATTTAACATTGACTCATTGCAAATACTAGTGGTTTTGTTCATTTTGTAATACTGTCGATGTTCGGTTTTATTTTACATCTACTTTATATTTCGCTAGATCCTTGATAATGGGTACTTTAGATCCGTCCCCCAGCTCATCAACTAGTAACTCAAAAAAGTGTATGAATAATCCTATGAAATTCTCAATTAATAAGGATATAATAAAAAAAGCTGAAAATCAAGATGTGAATTCAATTCAACGTATCGTCGCATATGATCACTTAGAATTTGAAACAAGTATGTTCATATTCTTGTTTTATTTTTCCATGAAGGTGTTATTGAGCAAGCTAAAAATACTTTTAAGAGAAATAACAGTCTTCAGATCAGTGTGACAAAGGAAAGACTTTCTACTCTAGACGATGATATAATGTATGCTAATATTGTTTATCCCTCATTTCACAGGTCTTCTCAACATGAACTGGAAAAAATGGAACTATCACTTGATACACTGCTCAGTCAGGTGTCTACTGAAGTGTCTAATAGCAGTTTGGAAAATAGGAAAATACGTTCTTTAGAGTTGGAGATAGAAACAAAAGCAAGATTCACTCTCCGTAAAGTGTTTATTGTTTTTTGTAGATGAAGCTTATTGACACTTTAATATCTAGAAAATCCGCTCTGTTGAGTAAACTGTCTTCTTTGGAGAAGGCCAACTTTATTTCAGATGACGTTTCAAGTGAGTATTTTATTCAAGTTTTTGTCATTGAAAAGTAATCGCACGCTCTTCGAGTAACTGCATCTTACACTACAAAATACGAATATATACCAAGACATGTAGTCAATGCATGTTCATTTTGATTATTTTGAATTTATAGTTATGGTAATTTGTCCACATTACATGTGATTCTTTTCAATGGAGAAAAAACAACTTATCTTTACGTTGAAGTGTTCAAATGAGTTGTATTTTTTCTGCCTAGAATAGTATCTCTGACTTAAATTTCCCTACCATAGTAAATACATGGTGGCGACTTGTATTTCAGAAGAGGAAATTCAGTGTTTTACACTCCGTACATAAAGACAACAAAAAAGGCAACGTGTATATTCGTATTTTCTTGAATTCTTTGGGTTCCCTTCTATAGAACACTGAATAGACAACTATCGAGTAGAATTCTGTCAAAATGGCTCTTTTTGCTGTGAAATTTAATATTTATACGGTCATAAAAGTTTACAGTGCAAATGACAGATACTTGAAAGTTAGATTGTAAGGGTTCGCTATAATTACTAATAGTAGTCTAGTGAATAACTTCACTTTGGTAATACATATTACTTTTTGGTTGGATATTTAAATGTACTTGTAGATTAGACTTTTTTTAACACCGATCTGCTTAGAATGATACATTTCTCTACTACCAAATTGCAAGACTAGTTTTTGAAATCGCAATATTTTGTTTTTGTAGTTGTTGTATCGTTATTATGCGCTACTAATCTTCGTCATTTAGAGTTACTCGTTTTACTTTCGTAATTTAATACTAGAACCAGATGAAGATTTGCCAAGTGTGAATATCGTGAAACCACTGTCCACAGATGACTTTAATTCTCCTATAAAACACCTCAGTACAAAGTTATATAAAGTAAAACGTTGTGAAAACAATGCTGTGGAACTGAAAAAGCTGTCTAAATCTAAGCATAATGATGATGCTGATATAAATGCGTTTCAGGAACGATTGAGACGTCAAAGACGTACTGAATTATTAGAGGAGCAATTAGCTAGAGAACATGAGGTTAGTATTTTTTGTATACATTTTTAATGAGTACATTTTACCTCATGATGTTTTTATTATGTTACTAGACCATCAGTCAGTTATGTAAGTGATTACTAAATGGGTAGTGAATGTTCTAAGATTTTTTGTTCTTCGAGAAGTTACTGTACAATGGAAGAATTTCCCCCACGTAATGTTTACTAATGATTATTGGTTATATTTGAAATAGGATTACTCTAATTCAAGAATGTCGAGTAGTTATATTTTACTGATAATCTGAAGTGAAAGTTGTAATTAGAAGTGTTTTATAGATCCTGAGATAGTAGCTTGTGTTCCTGTGACTAAGGTTTGTATTCTTCTGAAGGTGAAAAGCATTGTTTGATGATAGTCCTAAAATTCTGTCTGGATTACTGTTATTATTATTATTACTAATGTCATAGTGATTATGAGTAATTGGTTTCATGAGACTGTTAAAATGTTTTTGTTTGTGGGATTTTGTGTAATAAGTATCCATTTGCTGTTTATGTACGATAACAAGTCATTAATATCATGGTCGTATAAGTCGTCCCACGCTTTTTCTATATCTATTCATTTCGGTGTTGTATTTGAATTACGAATTTGTTATGATAGTCAATTTGGAAGCTGTTATAGTTATTAACTTTTTAGCTTTCAGATATTTCTATGCGGTTTAGTATAACTTATTTCAATTTGGGTGGGTTTGTTTGAACTTGTAGTACTGTCATCTTTTCTTATTTATGTGAGTGTATTCCTCCCTTCAAATGATGATGCATACTTGGAACCATTGATAACTTATGTGGAGAGTTAGATAATATATTACAACATTGGTCTCTTAACTGTTAGGTCATAGGGCCAAAGCTCACCCCATGTATTTTGATTTAAGGAACTAGGTCTTAATACACCATCCTCCAAACAAACAGTATGGTTTGAAGTCAAGTAAAAAGCCTATATGTCTGGAACTGAACGTTTTTGTTGTTTACTTCTACAAATACCAATATTTCTGTTCTTTTTTTCCGTTGAACTAGTTTTCATTTTAACTAATGCATAACTTTAATAAGATTTACTATAATGTACGTCTTACTGTTGTTCTCGAATTTCTTAAGAAAAAGATGAATTCATTTTAGGTACCTTCTAGTAATCCTTCTGATGAAAAACTAGATGGTGGATTTTGTGTCCCGGGTTCTATTTGGTGTCGATTATTTGATTATCAACGAAAAGGTGTCAAATGGTTATGGGATCTTCATCAAAAAGGATATGGTGGTATTATTGGAGATGAGATGGGTTTGGGAAAAACCATACAGGTTAGCTTCTGAATTTAGTGTACAAATTATTTCTTATTGTTTGCTTTGGTGGTTTTGTCTATTTATCTCTTTTGGTCGTTACAGTTTTTATAGGTATTATTTAGTGACAAGTTACGTATAGGTTCACTTAATAATAACCAAAATTTATTATATAGAAGTTAAATACTACTATATTGATGTCGCTGAATTTAATTCAGTAGATTTGAATCTGCTACCCAGCATTTGATATTCGATTAATTAGATTAAGAAATTAAAACATCAAAATGTGCGCTATGGTTTCATTTATTAAGGATTTTTTACTTGCATACAAATTTTATGGTATATATTAATCACTGGACAGAATTCAATCCCATGTTCAAATCTTAAGTGCGTTCATTAACAACTATTAACAATATTTTATTGAATACTATCCACTTTTTTCTGTTTAAAGGTCTGAATCACTATATAATCTGTTTTACTTTTGACATAAAATTCATTATGGGTTGATATGTGATTCTAGTGCGAAATGGTAATATTAGTAGAGCAGTATGATTTTTATCGACATTGATATTTGCTTAATTTATAACGAAGTTGATGTTTTATTCAGGGTGAACTTGAATTAGATTAATCTTGACTAATTTTCATTATTTTCAAGATTATTGCCTTACTAGCTGGATTGCATTATTCGAACATAGAAGATAGATCGTATCGTTTATATCTATCTACTCGTAATCTAACTTCGGAATGTCAGCAAGAGTAAGTGAGTTCCTACTAGTCGATTTTCAGTGTATTTGTCCTTTCTTTTTTCACTAATCTATTCGATGATAGTATGTGTATTGACCAAAAACAAATACTGTACATGAGCTGAGATGGATAATGGCTAGCAGTGAAATACAGGACACGCGTTCCATTCTATTTTGATCTACTGGTCATATCGGGGCAATACACACAGGATGCACATATGCCAAAAGTAGATTGATCATCTGGAATTAGTGGAAAGATTCAAACAACCAATGCAAAAATGAATAACTTTACATTTTAATAGTACAACTCAAGCATAATATAAACTTTTTCCAACCATGAAATCTATGACTATCATACTCTATTTTTAACACAAAATTGTGAAATGGTGTATACGAATGTTCGTCAATATTAGAACGAATTGTTTGGCAGAAATTGGGTGCCGCGTATGTAGAAGACACTATATGTGAAAATTATATTTGAAGTAATCTCGGAAACTGAAATTGAAATAACTCCAACGTTTCGTCTAACAAATTTGTCTGGACTTCTTTAGGGCAATAATCATAGTCAAAATTATCAAAGATTTTGGTTATTATACTGAAGAAGTCCAGACAAGTTTGTTAGATGAAACGTTGGAATTATTTAAATTTCAATCTCTGAAATTATTTCAAATATAATATCTTGTGGAATGGTGGTTTATTGGTTGAAACACTTTTCAATTATTAAGTTGAAAGTTCAAACTGTGCCATAAATATTTCAGCTTATGCAAATGAATAGTATTATTAGCAGCTTCCTTACACAAAATGTATAAGTTAATGCTGATTATATAAAACAATACTTTATTACTGATTTGAATTTATAAAATAATTACCTACATCTTTATATATGATTGTAAGATTTATAGGTTCTATAAAGATGTGTTCTATGTGTATATAAGAAGAATATCGTGGCTATAACATTCGAGTTTCTAATTAGATAATTGGTCGACTACTTTTTTCTCTAAATCTTTTATATTCGCTAAAAAGATTCTCATCATATTAAAACATAGATATATGGATGGAGAATATGTTTTTTCGATAAACTCCCTTCATGTTCTACGACTATATACCTATTATTATTGGTATTATTATTATTATCATTATTATTATTGTTATTATTGATGGCTTTATTCAATATCATATTTTTGGTACAATACAGAATTCTCAGCACAATGTATTTCAACAAGTTTTCTTTTTTCTTTTTTCTTATTTCCTAAATGATCCTGACAATAAATATTGATTGATAGCTAGTTAGACGTTAGCAGTCCAGGGATCGATATCTGAATAATGTTCATTCTTTTCATTGCATATCGCCAGCCACGACGATGTCTCTGATTGTACCTTCTTTTAGCCTGTACGGTGAAAGGTCGTGAACTTTTCATAAACGCGCCTGAACAGGTTATGCGATTAATAGACAAAAACAGATGACTTGTTGAAATATATATATATATATATATATATATATATATATATATATATATATATGGTTGTAGAACTTGAAGAGAATCTTTTATATGGTCAGTTTTAATTTCACTGAATAAATTTCCATAAAACACTGTCGATAATGTAAAGTATCAGTTACGGTGAAATGAGCGTCTAAAAATGAAAACATTTATTTAAATAAAAGGATTTTCTTTTCTTCTCCGATAATACTTGTTCAGCTTTCATACATCTGTAGCGTGTGAAATTTTCTGGTATTTTGTAGGGGAGAAAACTGAATATAGTTTTCCAGTCAAATTACATTATTCTCCTTAGAAGGTAATACACTTATTGGTTGTGTTGTTACCGGAAAATTCCTAAACCTCACCATTCTTGTCTTACTGTTTATGGACTTTAGGTAATATTGTATCTCCAGTGGTAACATATTTTACCTATATCAACTGTATAGATCATATTACTTAATTTTCTCGATGGAAATATGTGTTTTCATGTTATTGTGTATGAACTTATCAATACAATATTAAGCAATATGAATTTTAGAAATATTATCGTGAGCTTTTAATTTCTTTCAGACTTATCATGTACATCAGTGTACTCAGTGTGGAGTATTTTTTGCCTACTATAGCAATATTTATATAACCTTAGTTCTGGTATTCTTTTCTTAGTTTATTCAGTCTTTACTAAATTTGTTTTTCACCTATGGATCACTGTAGGTGTATCTGAAGAACAGAAGTTAACTGCTATAATCATTACGACACTAACAATTCGGCAATTACAGGTTATATTTTTATACATATCATTCTGTAACGTAAAAGGATCGACTCATGAAATAGCACACTTTGATGTTTAATTCAAATTTATCAATCACATATTTCACTATTTATTACAAATGATCTTCAGTAAGAATAAAATAATGATTTGAAAAGGTTTTACATAATTCCATTTTCTTTTTTGACTCACAAAAAATTGTACACTGTTGATGCATATCATTAACTCATTTATTAAGCAATAGTGTATTAAGCAATAGGTTCATAGAATCGCTTTCTATCCAGACGTTAGTTGTGTAAGGCTTGGTAATATTAATCTACTGCTCGTACTGATGTAAGTGTTTCAGTTGAGTTGAGTGCTTTAATCAGTAATCCATCGTCAGTCCACTGTTAGTTTATAAGCTCTTAATAGAGGTATGAACAACCTTGAGTAAATTCCACTTAGATATCATTTTGTTAAGATGAGTAGTATACCTCCCTTATAATGTCAATTTAATTCACAAAAGTAAGAAGACTTTTGTGGAAATTCAAAAACAGAACAGTTGTAAGTAGTTAATGCTATCCACCGTCTGATTGACAAAATAAGTGTTTTCATCGTGTTCATTGAAAATAAAAATATATTGTCTCCAGATCATTATCCAAATAAGTATATGGTGAGTTAGTAGGACATATGATATTATATGGTTGTGATTTAATAATCCAAAATAAATAAGTAAGAATATTGAAAAATAAATATATTAATCTTCATTGTACAATGATTATAAGTTAGATATTTTTTACAGGGTATTTTAATCGGGTTACTTTTTTCATCTTTTACCATAATATAAAGATTTTTAGGATTAGGTCCGACCTTAATTGTTTGTCCAGCTACAGTATTAAACCAGTGGATGTCAGAACTCCATTCATGGTGGCCTCCGATTCGTGTGGCCATATTGCATTCGACTGGATCCGGCTATGGAAAGCCAGTAAGTGAACTCAATGTAACTTAATATAATTTGTATGTGGTAGGACCTCAAAATAAAAAGTGTATTCAATTTATATACTACCTTATACACTTTTGTATATTTTACACTGCACTCGTTTTTAGCTTAAAGTTTAAAGTACTCAAACCCTAAATATTAAAAGTTATTTTTTATGATTCCAATTTCGTAACCTTACGGTCGTGCTTGGTAAATCAGTTGATGAGGTTATGAATCTTCATCGACTGAGATGGATGGGCCACGTATTACGTATGCCTGAACACCGATTACCACGACGTGCAATGCTAACCGGGGTAGGGGATGGTTGGAAGAAAGTTAGGGGCGGCCAAACCAAAACGTGGCATCAGTGCCTGAAGTCACTAACTTCTAGTCTGAGCCACGTTGGTAGATGCAGACTACTTGGTTGGGGTCCGCGTGACTTTCGTAACCAATGGTTGGAGACTCTTGGTGACATGGCTCAGAATCGATCACAGTGGCGTCGGTGTATACACTCCCTGTCTTCCCTTAAACTAAGAGACTAAAATCACTTCATTCTTTCTGTCTACGAACTAATTCTTTCTTCCTATACTATATCCTTATTGCAACCTTTGACCTAACCACTCCTATGAATCCGGTGTTCATCTTGCTGTGCTAATGAGGTATGGCAACCTGGACCGATGCACATATGTGCCTGGTCCTACGTTGTAGCTGACTGACTGACTGACGGTCGTGCTTAAATTCGTAACCGGGAGTCGATTCAAAATAATTAAATCCTGCTAGAGTTGTATTTAAAATCATTAAGTGATAAAAAATGGTTTCAAAAGCCATGGAACGAGAAATATTACTCGTTAACAGATGTGATTATCTAATTACCCCACATAATACGAAGTATTGAAAGGGAAAGTGAAATAAACGAAGAATTGTCCAAAAATGTGTTTATCAAAACTACAGTTATGGAAAATTAAAGTGGTCTCTGTAGCGTATTCATACTTAAATATAGATAACCGACACTTTAAGAATACGTAGGTATACTGAACGGTTTTACGTGGTTTCAAAACATTTGAATGGATATTTTGAGTGGCATTAAATTCTCTGAGATAGGGGTGGTAAAGGATAGCTAAATATAATAGTTTTCAAAGTACATTGGTTAACATAACATTGTGTGTGATTATTGTACGTAACATCACAAAAAAATAGAGAAATCAACTTGTAAAGTTACCACTAATTTTATGTCCTAATTTGAGTGAATAACTCTTATGCTTTCTTAACAACCAAGTTGTACAACAATTACTTAATGGGTAAAGCACTTAACTTTTAATCACTTAATAGCAGTTTAAAATCTTGCAACATTCCGATTGTATTACTAATCTTCACACAACAGAGTTGTGGCTCATGGCGGATTGCATGAACTTGTGTTTTCGTATGAATGATTTATCATATTCAAATGACTATTTTAAAGCTATGTTTATCAATCTGGATTTTTGTTATCGTTTATATTTTCATTTTAGAATAAACTTATACAAATGATAACTAATAATCCAGGAAGTGTTCTTCTAACCACGTATTCAACTCTAGTGACTTATCGTGATATGCTAACATCTCGAAATTGGTCGTATGTTATACTGGATGAAGGGCATAAAATAAAAAATCCAGAAGCTGAGGCTACATTAGCTGTTAAACATGTAAGTATATTGTTCTTACATCCTCCAAAAAACAACTGATACAAATCCCATAAATTTTTAGTTTTCCACTCCTCATCGTTTGATTCTTTCTGGTAGTCCAATTCAAAATAATCTACGTGAATTATGGTCACTTTTTGATTTTGTGTGTCCTGGACGATTAGGACCTTTGCCAGAATTTATGCAACAATTTTCTATACCAATTACTCAGGGAGGTTATGCTACCGCTTCACCACTTCAGGTAAGCATCCTATGTTAATTGAGTTTATTGTTCCTGATAACTGGATTATTTGATATAAAATTTCAATAGTTACTGAGATTCATTCGTTTTATTCAAACTAAGTGCGTAATTTATTTATTTATTTATTTGTTTATTTGAACACATAAATATTGGTACAAGAGAGCGCCAATATATATGCGCCACACAAAACAATGGGAATTCGAAGAGAAGTAGAAAGAAAAAAAAAGAAGAAGAAAAAAAACAACTAAGGAACGCAAAAGAAAGAGAGAGTAATGACGAGGAGGTACAATCAGAAGAAATCTTTCAGTTAAGGAAGATACAACCACTTTTTATGAAGAAAGTAAAAGAAGGTTACAGCAGGATCGCCACTGGCTTCTATTCTGAGCCATATCTGATAACGTCTCTAGCCACTGTGTAGCACCATCTCTCGGACCCCAGCCAGGGAGTCGTGAAGGACCAACACAAGCCAGTCCTTTGCAGCTTTCTTTCATGCCACGACACCATGTCATACACTGACCACCTCTCCGCTTCTTCCAACCAGTCCCAGAGTCGGCAAATAATGCACGACGTGGAATTCTCTGGGACGACATTCGGAGAACATGTCCAAGCCACCGAAGTCGGTGTTTCAAGATGGTGACACCAATTGAGTTATCATCTCTGTGCCCGAACACACGATGCCGAACCTCTGCATTACTGACTTGGTGTTGCCACTGAATGTCAGCAATCCTTCGGAGACAGCGATGATCGAACACAGAGAGTCGTCTAACATCCTCAACTCGGAGAGGCCAGGTTTCACAAGCATAGAGCAAAACTGCTCTCACCGACGCCTTGTAGATCCGGCCTTTTACAGCCAGACTAACATCACGAAGGCGCCAAAGGTGGCCCAGATTGGCATAAGCCGCTCTGGCTTTCACTATGCCTGAATTGATCTCATCACTCACACCCCCACCAGCACTTATGCAGCTACCCAGATACACGAACTTCTCGACTACGTCTATCTGCTCACCATCCAGGGTGAGTAAAGGATTGGAATCCTGCCAGTCTTGTAGAAGTACTTTGCACTTCGAAGGTGCAAAGCACATACCATACCTACGGACATTGATTGCCAACTGATTAAGTACGGATTGCATGCCTTGGGCATTATCGCACAGTAAGACAATATCGTCCGCATACTCAAGGTCGAGAAGTCTTTCTCCAGGCAACAGATCCACACCAACATTACTTACATTCATCAGAGCTGTTTCCAGAATGTCATCGATGGCAAAGTTGAAGAGGAATGGTGAGATTGGGCAACCCTGTCTAACCCCACTGCTCGAATGGAACAATGGAGAGAGGTGGTTGTATGCCCTCACTCTGCCTGAGGTGTTTTTATACAGGGCTTTTAGGATGTTAATAAACTTCTCAGGCACACCCTTCTTCAATAGACAATCCCAGAGAACAGTCCTATCCAACGAATCGAAGGCAGCCCTGATGTCAAGAAACACTACGATTGTTGGCCTTTGAAAAGTATGGCGGTGTTCTAACATTTGGCGGAGGGTGAAGATATGATCAATACATCCTCGACCAGAACGAAACCCAGCCTGCTCCTCGCGAGTCAATCTTTCTCGGGTTTTGAACAACCTACGAAGAATGACGGAAGCCAATAGCTTGGACGCAATCGGAAGTAAACTTATCCCCCGATAGTTGTTACAAGAACGACGTGAACCCTTTTTAAAGATAGGGACAACTATCGACTCATTCCATGACGTTGGTACACTCTCTAGTTCCCAAACCTTTGTAAACAACGTCGTCAATTCCTTAGTCAAAAAGTCACCACCATCTTTAAAAAGAGCCGGAGGTAAGTCATCTGGGCCAGGTGATTTGTAACGCTTCAAGAGTTGGAGTTCCTTGCGGACTTCCTCCTCATTTGGTGGATCAGTCGTCACCGGCCATGGAGGGCAGGACAGTCTGACCGATGTTGCCGGAGCAGCAGGCCAGTTGAACTGCCCTTCGAAAAATTCTGCCCATCGTCCAAGACGTCGATGGATGTTAGTGATTGGCATCCCATCACCCTCGCAGATTGTTTCACTCTCACCAGACTTCTTGCTGCCAGTGGCTCGGATGAGTTGGAAGAGCTTCCGGTAGTTACCAAATGCAGCTGCTGCTTCCAGCTCATTAGCACGCCTCGACCACCAGGCTTCTCGGTCCTTACGCAAGCTTTGCCCGATTTCCTTACGTAAAATCCTTCGTTTATGGTCAAACTCACGGTTACCCGGAGTAGACCGACGGGCTTCAATGAGTTGTAAGGAACCAGAAGAAACCCAGTGCTTAAAAGCGGGACGTTTCGCAAACCCACAACTGACTGTTCCCGCCATTTTCATGGCGTCATGCAATTGCAACCAATGCTCATCTATACTTTTCGGTGGAGTGGTAGCTAGCCTAGAGGCTAGCTCGGTTCGATACTTATTTGCAACAGAAGTTGCAACCAGCTTGCTAACATCAATCCGTTGATGGCGTTCACTTCGTTGTCCACTGAAAAGTAAGGCAAGATTGGCGCCGACCAAGGCATGGTCAGAATCCAGATAGGTACTCCAAAAGGAGCGGCAGTCTTGTACACAACCACGCCAGCGGTAGCTGATCGCGATGTGATCAATCTGAGTCCAGGCTTGAGATGCAGAGGGAGGACGCCAGGTGGCACATCGGCGATGACTGTGCCGAAAGTTAGTGCTAGCCAGAAACAGGTTGTGGTCTGTGCAAAGTTGCAGTAGACGGTCCCCGTTATCTGACCTGCGACCAATGAGTCCCCATCGGCCACCTAAACGACTCTCTTCTGCGCCTAGACGCCCGACCTGAGCATTCAAGTCTCCGGCTAGTACTACAATATCTGTGGAACGCACTTTCTGGAGAAGAACAGATAACTGGTGGTAAAACTCATCCTTGATTGCATCCGGGCTGCTATCTGTCGGGGCATAGGCGGAGATGACGAAAAGACATCGTTTCTCACGCCGATTTCTTCTCACTTTGATGGAACTTTCTAATCTAACAGCACATAACCGACTGTTAATGGGGATCCAATCGACTAGTGCTGCCTCAGCTCTAGCGCTTAGTGCGACACCAACGCCAGCAAGACCAGACGAAGATGCCACAGGGTCCCCGGATAAGCGCACGTAAAACAAGCTTTTCGAAGCGACAGATGGAGATCGAATTTGTAGTACTTCGCCAGAGTCTTGAATACGGGTCTCGGATAGACAACACACGTCGATATTAAGACTTTCCAAAGACATAGCCAGCCCTATCTGTTGTCCGACCTGCATAAATGTGCGAACGTTGAAGGCAGCCAGTTTGAATGGTGCACGTGGTTTCAGAAAATCTGCTTCAGTCCTCGTATTCGGTGGTAACATACAATTTTCAACCGGACAGTGACTCGAGAACGTTTAGATACAGTCGGAATTCCACCAAAGACGAGCCGCTGTATAAGTATAAAAGAAGGTGAATAATGTGGAAAATAATAATAATAATAATAATAATAATAATAATAATAATAATAATAATAATAATAATAATAACCATAATGACAATAATAGTAGTAATAATAATATTAGTATTAATAATGACAATAATTGTAGTGATCATAATTTGAATCAATTGATTGTTTTTCAAAGCGACAAAGGTAATTTCCATGGACATAGAGTTCATCATTTGTGTGTGGGCTGTGATACTGCCCGGGTGCCCAAACCGAAGCAGGTGGTTATCTTAGGGGGCCACTCCCCGAGCCTTTGACCTAAAGGTCTAACCCACAAGGCAGTGGAGCATCGTGAGGAGATGCAGTCCCATGGTAGCCGGTGACCAACGATTGGTTCATACGCCATTCGTTCCCGCAGGATACTGGAGCCCATGTGCACCATTGATTTGGAATCCGGTTAAAGCGCCGGACATTCGCTTTTCGTCCTCTCATTTTCGTAAACAACACCCCCGCCACGAGAAGGCAGTGAGTAGGACTTCCCTGGCAGAGGCTGTATACGCGTGGCCGTGTGAGAGTATTTCGAGAGGTAGAGCGGACTCTCCCTACTCTCGGCCGTACCAGGGCATTCAGGGGGCAAGTGCGTAATAATCTGTTTTATAATATATTTAGTTTTCCTTTATAGGTCTGAGGTAACCGCACGTCTCACTAAACTTTTTCATCAATGTTTACAATATCCTTTTGAACGCTTTCTTTTAGTGTTATTTCTTGTTTAATCTGTAAAGGTTGAAACAGCTTATCAATGTGCATGTACTTTACGAGATCTTTTAAAACCCTATCTCATTCGAAGACTTAAAGCTGATGTACAAATTCAACTGCCAGCTAAATCAGAACAAGTAAGTTCTAAATATTGCCATATTGGGTATTGACTAGTCACTATCCCAATTTTCTCATTTGTTACACCGATACATACAAGTTCACATTTAATAACCTAAGTTTTGTTCATTCCCGGGAATTAGTTATGATATGAAAATTATGGTCACGGGACTTTCGACTTCTAAAAGGTGTAGATTTTGTGAAGAAAGAATTTAGAATAAGCAGAGATCAATAATGGCTAGCGATGTAATCCAGGACGCGCGTTTCATTCCATTTAGGACTAGTCACCTTTATATACCTGCATTTCAAAGTTGATGGTTACTCCAACCCAGTACCTTCTGCTTCAAACGCCGTCGTGTTATTCACTTAGCTATTGAGTTCAGATAGCCCCTGGCTTTTGCAGTGGAGTGAATATTAATTTTAATCCTTATATATATTGGTTGTTTAGACTTTCCGATTGATGTTCAGGAATGATATCGATCAGACTATTTTCGGTATATGTTCATAATCTTGAAACGAGTTTTTAACTTTTGTTTAGTTATTTACTCGAAGATGAGTTATGCTTAGTAGGACTAATCACTCCTATTTCAACCAGCAACCTACTAGTTAATATCAAATCTGTTCCGCTTAACAAGATTCAAACAAACGTTCAGTACAATTAGCTCTAAATCAATTGTCGTAGTTTACATCCTGGTGCATGAAACTTTAACGAGTTGCTGATTTATTTTATTGTTGAATACTACATACCTCATGTATAATTCCGGTTATAAACATTAATACTTATCAGAATTCATAGATCTAGTGTGACTTTTGTATAATTATCACCAAAGATTCAAAGACTAGTTATTTTATATGATCAATTAATACTTGTTAAAAAATTCTTCATCAACAACTGTTTTGATCCAACTAAATTGTCGAGAGTTATTTAACTGATGGTAGGTTATGATGGAAATAATTTTATGGTATTGTTGTTCCATTTGTGTAGCCTCTGTTATCATATATATGTCCTAAATTCCACTAATGATTACATACTTAAATCACTTTTAAAATTTCCCACAACCTTTTTCACTCAGTCAATCTTTTTCTTCTGTTCAGGTTTTGTTTTGCCGACTAACTGATTATCAGCGAAAACTCTATCGAGAATACTTAGAGTCTCAAGTATGTCAAGATTTACTAAATGGAAAAGGCAATGTAAGCTACTAACTTTAGTGTTGCTATCAGTAATCATTATATTTTTAAAAAAATAAATTATTAAAAAAGTATATAGATTTACTAATTTCGTTGTGTTGTTTTAGATTTTTTACATATATTCTGTTTTTTGTTGTTGGCTCGGTTTTTCTGGTGTTGGTTTTTAAAGGTTTAGGAACTTGGATATTTACTGTATTTTAGGAGTTTCTGCGTTATTCAAAAGCAGGTTATCGGTACTTATATGCTACTCTCCAAAAATAGGATGTTATCTTTAAAGGAATGCCGATAGGGCGGCTATTTGAAATTAAAATAAATTGGTCGATTACGTTATAGACTTAGTATATACTGAGATGGATAATGAGCTTGTTAAACATGTTTATCAATCACCAACACTGATGTGTACTATGATGTGAAGTGGAAGTGGATTGGGAAAAAGACTTTAGAGGATTAGATTAAAATATATTTGATGCATTAGGTTACTGATCGATTAGTTTAAAGAAAGAGAAAGCAGTCATTTGGATACTTCTAATTATATGATTGGAAACCCTTAGACGTGTTGGTAGATTCAGACTACTTGGTTGGGGTCCGCGCGACTATCGTAACCAGTGGTTGGAGATTCTGCGTGACATGGCTCAGAATCGATCACAATGGCGTAGGTGTATACATCTTAAACTATGAGATTCAAATTCCTTTATACCTTTCTTCCTCTTTTATATGCAATCTTTTATATATACATTACTACAATTGAAGTAACTACTTCTATGGATTTGGTATTCATCTTGTTGTGCTAACAAAGTATGGCAACTTGGACCGATGCATTTATGTGCCTGGTCCTACGTTGTAGATGACTAACTGATTGAAACCCTTAGAAAACAACTTAAATGTAATCGTAGTTGTTCAACTCACTTTCAAAATTCTGACAATTAAACATTATTAACCAGCCTGGTTATTCTTATTCTTAAGAATGTATTTTCGTTCTCGTCATATTTTTTATACGGTTTTAAGGATTGTAACTATTCAGTCATTGCACAACTTTGCAATGTTCAGTTTTCACACCTGTCTCTATCCGGTTAAATGTAATCGCCCAGAAATATCACCATCAATATTCAATGGTTCATCGTGCCAAATACCTCAGTAATACCTAATGTAATGTGATGTAATAAAACGCAGATGATCAACTTGAATGTTTGATATGGTAACGACTTGCTAAGGAATATAGGCAGAAAATGCAAGGAACTTCGAATTTGTAAATATTTCCGCGATCGTACCACTGCTTACTTAAGATGAATCTATTTCAGACATAGTAACCCTTCAAATACATTACTATACTAAACGATCAAAAATGATCTTCAGGATACCTTGGCCTTATGTGACATCTTAGCGACCACTCATCAATTCAGGACATATACACAATCTTCAGGGAAGTGGTGCTTCCCGCGCGTTTCACCTTATTTAGGATTCGTCTACTGGACGTACCTGCATTTCAGAGTTGATGTTCACTCCAGAGCTCGAAACCCGTACCGTTCGCTCCAAACGCCCTCGCGTTATCCACTTAGGTACATAATCCTGATAGCCACTAGTTTTTGCAATGGGATGAAGTGTAAATTCATTTTGTATTGTTTGTTTGAATCATCCTATTGCAGTCCTAAACATCAATCGCAAGATTCAAGCAACAAATACAAAAGTGAATTAAAATTATTATTAATTTCTTTAGTTAAAATAACATTTTTATGCTCTTATTCATTCTACTTCACTGTTACCACGTTTAGCAGAATTTCATTATCACTATTATTGTAATTATCATTTTGAAAAAAATAGGTATGTATATTTGCTATTGTACTGCTTTGAAAATAAATTAGCCGGAAAGACAATTTCTCTCTGAACCAATCTTTTTTATATTTAATCTGTAATATACGTTTATTTTTTACTTTTTCATTTTTAGATTTTTCCTTCTTTAATATTATTAAGAAATTTATGCAATCACCCAGATTTAGCTACAGGTGGTCCAAGAGATAGTTGTTTTCTAAATGAAGAGTTTGAGTCTGATAAACAAGGTATTGAAAATGTATGCTTATCTTATTCATGGTCAAGATTTGGTTGCCCACGTAGATCTAGTAAAATGTTAGTTGTTGCTTCACTTCTTAAAAACTGGTATGATCAAGGACATAAAGTTCTACTGTTTTCACAAAGTCGTCGTGTAAGTTGGTTTTTTTTAAAAAGTAAACTTGACTACAGCATACATTTAATATGATATTCATCTGTATTAAACAATAATTATCCAGCTGACTGGTCCCAAATAGAACGAAACGCGGGTCCTGCATTTTATTAATAGCCACTATCAATCTCTGCCTAAAGTAATCAATAAATTTGAAATAAATAGCACGTCATTTGGGATCAAACTTATCCATATTGTTTTTACTGAAGTGTTACTTATCATCTAATGAATATGAGAATAGTCTGGTCTCTTGTATATCAGATTATTCTGTTCAATTTACTTGAATTTGAATAAATTCTTGGCAGATGTAGAATAATAATCGCCTTTGAATCACATTACATTTAGTTCATCTGTCAGTTTTAGCGTTTGACAACCAGCAAATTGAAAATGTTTACTAAATATCAACACAGTTTGTTGATAAAATCATACATAATCCGTTTAATTGATGATTATTGAATGCTATATGTTCATATAAGTTTCTACAAATTCTCTATTCAGTCACCCTAAATATTAAACAATAACATCAACAGTTTCTATTTGGCTTGAAAATTCAATCAACCAAACCAAGTGATTCTGAGTTTCTAACAGGGAATCTTAACGCTTCAAGTCAATTTTTCTTGGTTTTTTCGTGTATTGGTAGATATGATCTGGATTTTTACTAAAAAATGTAACAGTGAATTCATGATTGAAATAGACAGACAATTTTTTATCGATGTTGTTGTCTCATTCAATTTAATAAACAGTTCGTCTGTACCCTTTGTATTGCTAAGTCTCTTTTCAACAAACATAGTAAAAACTGTAAGTTAAATTTATTCAACTTTTCTCCTATTCTAAATCCTGAAAATCATCTAAATTCCTTCATTCTAGTTAGCCATTGTTTGTCAATCCAATAATACTTGCTTACAAAAGTCCGAATGAATTGTAGGTATAATTTTCTTACACTTTGTATATTTTTCGGAAAAGCTGGGAATGTAGATTTAATTCACATTTGCCCTATACAATACGTTTTCAGGGCATATATAATTGATGATTTGTTTTTGTTTCTATTCATAAGTTTTATTTTTCAGTATGCTTTTTATCAGTCATCTAAAGTACATTTTCCCGTCTATACCTTGTTTTTTGATCAGATGCTTACATTACTTGAACGTTTAGTACAGTTGATGAAGTTTTCTTATCTTAGAATGGATGGAACAACTCCTGTTAGCCAACGTCATGAACTTATTCGACGTTTCAATTATCGTTCAACATCGGATAGTGAGAAAATAGATAGGACAACAGATCAGTTAGACATATTTCTATTTTTATTAACTACACGTGTTGGCGGTTTAGGTGTAAATTTAACTTCAGCTAATCGAGTACTTATCTATGACCCAGATTGGAATCCTACTACTGATCTACAAGCTCGTGAAAGAGCATGGCGTATCGGACAATCAAGAGATGTTGTTATTTATCGTTTATTGACAAGCGGTACTATTGAAGAAAAAATATATCATAGGTAAGTCCTATCACACTGTTATGTTGAAGTATGTAAAATAATATTTTAAGTTTGTCATCGTAAGTTTAACGTTGAATCATCTTTTTTGATTGTGCTTGGATTGGACAGTCCATTGGTTATAGCTTCAGTTCCCTCAATACTACCTCCAACCACTTGGTGCACGAGATTTTGTGTCGCATATATTAGTGGTCACATTGCAACTTTAAGATAGAATACACATTAAGAAGGATCTTACATAAGTAACATTGATCACCACCCAGTGATCAATCAATTTTATATACATAGCTCAGTGGTAACATCTGTTACTGTGAAGCTGGGTGATATGGGATATAATATTCCAGGGAGCACCTTGCTGACGAGTATCAAACGGCATGAAACCTGGGTTCAATGTTTCTTGTCAACTATGTCCAGCTACGACCTTATGGCTATTCCCAGTACTTGTATAGCAGAGGTGTATGTTGTTTTTGGTTTAGTAGACAAAACTACATATTTAAAGCTGGATAGTTATTAGTTTTAAACATTATCAGAAAAGCTTTAAGATCCATATAATTATTTCGATAGCTTTGCAACTTTACGATTATTAAAAGTTAAAACCGATTACTTGTTATATTTAAAAACATATTATGCTTTACAGTATACTCTGTTGTGCTCTTAATATCCAGTAAAATTTTCTGTTGACAGAGATGTCTAAAAGTATGTGATAAAGTTACATATTCACTTCAAGCTTGTATCATGATTCATTTTTTGTGTTGATTATTTGAACCTTCCCATTGATGTTTAGGACTGCGATTGGATCAGCCTCTTATTGGCATATGTGCATACTGTGCGGATTGCCTCGATATTGCCTTCAGTCACAAGCATTATAAGTAGAAAGGGATAGTTGCTAGCAGTGGAATCCGGGACTCTTTAATTGAATGTGCCTGCATCCCAGAGTCGATGTTTACTCCAGGACACGAAACTTGTACCGTTCACTTCAAACGCCGTCGCGTTATCCACTTAACTACTTAGTCCTGATAGACACCAGCAGGTACATCCAGCTAACGAGTCGGGAATCGACCGAAACACACGTCTTGGATTCCACTGCTAGCCAGCATCCATCTCTGCTTGTCGTATCGTATTTTTCATTTGTCTAACATGACTCTCTAATTTATTGTAATAGCTACATATTGTATGATTTAAATGAATAATCTTGGAAAGTCTACCGCATTAGTCTATGTAATGGCATGTTATTGGTTTGGATCATATGGGTGAGCTTCTTTCGACTTTCTCTTCCTTATAGTTTCTTATCTTATAATTGTTGTTGATCGTTTCTTATTCTGTTGTGTTTAGTGTGAGGACTTGAAATTGTTGAAATTTCCATGCATCAGGTTCTGTCTACACTAATATATACGTTTAAGGTTTTGTGTTTGTTGGAAAATATTCATTGTCATGCTAATCGATATTTTTTGTCATAGTTTTTTTCCACAAAAATGGCTACGTTTTTACTACATTAAATGAATCGTTCATCATAGTCTGTCATTTATACACCCTTAACTCGTAATCTGAGTCTGTTTGGGTATTTCATCTAGTTTTTTTGTGTTTTGTTTTGACTAATTAATTAATAAATTTACAAATTATTTTTAATGTTGTTGGTTTTTTCCGTTAATTTTATTGATTTAAATAGACAAATATTCAAACAATTTCTTACTAATCGAATTCTAAAAAATCCACGTCAGCAGCGATTTTTTAAAACAAACGACCTTCAAGAATTATTAACTTTTGAAGATGAATCAGATATACAAATCCCAGAAACAGCTTTGTACTTGAAATCGGAAGGTATGGGTCATACACTGACTAATTCATTAACCGAGAATCGATTTGATATACTTGCTAAAAAACTGAAAGATAATCCATTGCAAAGCAAATCATCACGCGTGAATACAGAGATTAGTAGTGGTAGTGATGTTGATGATGATGAGAAGGAGGAGGATGAAGATGAAAAAGAATCGAAGGTTTCTGTGGATGACAATTTTATAAACACTTCGTTATATCCTGATGCAAAAAATAAGCGTACAGAACAACTTCGTCAACTTGCTAAAGAAATAAGCCGTCGTATAGCGGAGGAATGTTCAAACAAAGATAATTCAGTTGAATCGGTTACTAAGCAGTCTAAAGAAATGACTTCAAACAAATATAGTTTAAATCGCAAACGTAAATCTGATAACAGAGGGACACGGGTGGATGGAAAACGAATCAAGCTAGTAGCAAAACAGTGCAGGTATGATGTTGGTGAAGGCATGGATATCTCTTTATCTCGAAATCAACTTGCTGAACCAACCAAAGCGACAAGCAGTAATGCTGAAGATGATAACTTTATTCAAAATGTCTTAGCCAGTTCTTGTTTCAGTAGCAGTTACTTATCCAGTAATAAGCAAGACTACTCTACGGTTTCTTCCTTTAAGGAGAAGCGATCAATGGTAGATCAAGATACGCGTGATGAAGCAAGTCGAGTTGCGAAAGAAGCTCTAAAGAATATTCAGAAATTTCACAAATCCAATGAAATGAAATGTAAAGAGTCATTTCGAAAAAATAAAGGTAGGTGTTCTTTTCTTATCTGCGAATCAATGTTAGAAATTTGGAAAGTTGACATACAATATATGCTCTGAGATGTTGATTACTAGCACTTCACGTTTCCTTGAGTTTTTTTCAACAATAATCTGTAAAATGAAGTGCCTTAGTTTATAGGCCACATTTTGTCTAGACACAATGGTTATTAAACTTCAGTCATGTCATGCGCTTTCTGGATTCATCATTCTAATCCCACTAATAAGACAGGTAACTAGACCTTGTTCATGAAAATATTAGTACAAAAGAAAGTTTCATCAAAACTAAAATTGAATGGTTATTCTACCAATATCTATAAAACTATTGTAGTCCTTAAATATTAGCAAATGATTCCCTGTCAAATAAAATAACTAACATTGTTATAGGAAATATTGTATGTTAGTATCAATAGTAAGAATTTCACCGTTGAGACGTTTTTCGTATAATTGAACACAGTATCAAAATAATATAATACAGTGTCTATGATTTATTTAAGCTTTCTGAATTTTCTTGTTTGTTATTCCACTTTATGTTGTGTAAATCTATCTGTAAAAAGTAGTATTCACATTACTCTCAGTTACAATAACCTACTCGTTTCGTTATTGTTTTACTATCACGACTTAATTGTCTTTCTGTAATGCAATAAAAAACGGAATATATCGGAACTGTATGATGTATTAGCGCTCTGAGACCGTTTCTCTAGCATACTAATTTTATATGGCTTTTTTATTCTTCTGAAAATGAAAGTCGCTAGCCGTAAAATACCAATATTTGGCCTTTCGAATTCTCTGAGAGGGTTCTTTAATGCTTCAGGCTACTGAAACGCTGCCAAAAACAGTATAGTTAGCAGCACATTTTCTGTCCGTTACCAAGTTGAAAGCCACTTCACTGGAGCTTACTAATCTGTTACTGCTAATTATCAGGAGGAAGGATGGGTATTTTAAGCGGAGTTGGAAAGGATGTAGTGGTATAATCCAAGTCGCGCATTTCGTCACCTGGATGGACCTGGACCCCAGAATTAATGTTCACACCGGAACAACCCAAAAAGTTAAGACCTGTTTCAACTATGTGTTTAGCGATAGTGGAAGATGAGTTATTTTATCATCTGCTCTTATTAAACCATTTGAATTTATTTTTGCCTGTGGCCATTTTGGTACATGTTGAGACACGCCTTAACTTGGAAATCACGACTCCTCCTCACATGTGTGGCCACACATTGACGGTGTTGCAGTTACACTAAACCTACACTGATAATATTAATTTATTATCCAGAATGGCGATTCACATGGTTTTCACATTATCTTTGTTTTTTCTTAGCCTTCAAGTTGACTTCCATTTTTCATATGTATATTAATGTCTTAACAACGAAACATGAAATCAAATTATTTGCAATGTATATTGCACTAATATATTACATTTTGTCTTTTCATTGGATTATGTAAATTTATCGAAGGGACGAATTGCTATTGTTCTGTTTTAACAAATTAGGTTGTATGTTAATTGATACAAGAAAAAAGGCAAGTTAAAACTGAGCAATAATTTTACATAAAATGAATAAATAAAAATTGGGGGTAAAAATATAGGAAAAATAAAAAGTGAAAAGTGGTAAATAACTAAAGAAATAAAGGTCAGGTATCAAGACTAAGACTTTGGACAAAAGGTATGGATTAGTACGATATTTGCAATACTATAAATGTCAATAGACCCGGGATCAGTCAGTCAGTAACAACGTAGAACTTCGTACGTACGTACATCAGTTCGAGTTGTCACACCACATTAGCACAGAGATGCAGTGGTCGATCCAAATCCCGTAGTGGTAGAGGTAATAAGAGTATAAGCAGTAATCGAGAAGATTAGTGTTTGGAGATGTTATTTAAAGAGTATAATACAGTGAAATAAATTTGAGAAGAGAAAAAAGAGACAAGGAGGAATAAGGAGATCAAAATTTGGGAGAACACAAAGAGTAGATGCACCTGCAACATTGCAAACGATTTTGAGCCATGTCATTCAGGATCTCTAACCATCGGTTGCTATAATCTCGCCGTCCCCAACCAGGTAGTCTACATCTACCAATATGACTCAGTCTACTTGTCAGTGACTTCATGGACTTGTGCCATGTTTTGGTCTCGCTGCACCTAGCTTTCTTCCAACCTACTCCTATACAACAAAACATCGCACATCGAGGCAGTCGGTCTTAAGGCATACGTAACACGTGTCCCAGCCATCTCAACTGATGAAGTTTCACTACGTCATCAATTGATTTGCCATCTTTACCTAGTACCCGTTTCCTAACAACTGTGTTACTTACTCGATGGTCCCATGATATACGAGCAATGTTTCGAAGACACCTATGATCGAATACTAGTAACCTACGGATATCCTCTACTCTTACCGGCCATGTTTCACTGCCATAAAGAAGGACGGAGCGAACTGCTGCGCAGTAAACACGTCCTTTGGTTGATAGACGGATATCTCGCCTACGCCATAAATGACGCAAGTTGGCAAAAGCTAGTCGAGCCTTCTGTATCCATGCTGGGATTTCGTCACACACCAGACCACAAGGGCTGATGAGACTTCCAAGATAAGTGAAGCGATCGACACGCTCAATTACTTCACTCCCTATCATTAGTTCGGGTGTCAATGCAACCCAATTCTGAAGCAACATTTTACATTTTGAGGGGGTGAATCGCATCCCGAACATGCTTGCATTGTTGCTTAGAGTGGTCAGAAGACTCTGCATTTTGTCAGCGTCTTCACCAAATAAAACTATGTCATCTGCATATTCTAAGTCAACAAGTGAACCTCCCGGTACAAGTAGTGTGAATATCTGATCTATACAACCAAGTCCAGGTCGAAAACCAGCCTGGTTTTCTCTAGTCTGCTCTTCACGAGCTTTGGTTAGGCGTCGAAGTATTATTGAAGCTAATATTTTAGATACTATATTTGTCAAACTGATTCCTCTGTGATTGTCACAAGAGGACTTTTGTCCTTTCTTATAGACTGGCACAATCAGTGATTGAGACCAGTCAGATGGGATTACGTCCAGTTCTCAAATTCTACCTAAGACCTCGGTTAATCTCATTGCTAATACTGGACCAACATCCTTAAAAATCTCAGGAGTAAACCTGTCAGGGCCTGCTGCTCTCCCTCGTTTCAGATTTCCTATGGCTTTTTCAACTTCGTAAAGGGACGGAGGACTTACATTAACTTGCCATTCAGGTTGACTGGAGATCGTGGGAAACCGAAGTGTGGCTGAAGGCCGGTTGAACTGATCCATAAAGTGTTCTGCCCATCGATTTAGTCTCCTGGATTGAGAATGTATAATATGTCCATCTTCCTCTGAGAGTGTTTCGCTAACAGTCGGTTTCCTTATACCGGTTTCCTTAACATGTCTGAACAATTGTCTGCTATTACCTATTGCCGCTGCCTTTTCCATCTCTCTTGCTTTCGCTAGCCACCACTGTTCACGATCATTGCGTAGACTTCTTGTCAGCTTGCGCATGGGCTGACTCAGCTCTTCGTTATGTTCAGAGCCATATGAAATGGGTTTTTGAACATCTATCAGTGCAGTAGATGCTGCTGAGATCCAGTGTTGTTCCCTAACCTTCTGGTTTACCTTACTAGCAGATATCACTGCTGTTTCCACAGCTTTTCGGATATCATTCCATTCTGCCTCGAGGTGGGCATCACATACATGGCTGCCTAACTGTTTTCCTAGTTGTTCCTGAAATATACTCTTAGCTTGACTATCATTAAGTAGGGCCCGAAGAGGTTTCCTTGCAGCGTCTTTCCTACGCCCAGTAAGACGCAGACAAATACGTGCTTGCACTGGAGCATGATCTGAATCTAAGCATGTGCTCCAGAATGAGCGACAGTCTTCTATCGAGCCCCTCCATCGGTGGCTGTTAGCGATGTGATCTATTTCGGTCCAACGTTGGGACAAATTAGGGGGTCTCCATGTTAAAAGATGTTTTTCCTTATGCTTAAAGTTAGTATTTGCAAGGAACAGGCGGTTATCTGAACATTGCTGCAACAGACGGTCGCCATTATCTGTTCTTTGAGCCACGATGCTATAAGATCCACCCAGGTGTCTTTCCCTATCGCTTAGTTTACCTACTTGAGCATTAAAGTCACCGGCCATTATTACTACATCCGAGCGCCTAGCTTTTCGGAGAAGGTCGGAGAGCTTTCTGTAAACCTCATCTTTTACATCATCTGAGCTGCAGTAAGTGGGAAAATAGGCAGCGACGACGAAGAGGCAACGACGAGTGTCCCTATCTTTTCGGGTCCTTATTGTTCCGTTTAGTCGGAAAGCGCACAAACGACTGTCTACTGGGATCCAGTCTAAGAGAGCTAGTTCTGCCCTAGGACTCAATGCTATACGTACGCCGGCGAGGCCACGGGAAGCAGAATCAAGGTTTACAGATACACGAAGTGTGAATCGAGTCGGTTCTTTATTTTGGCATGGTGAGGTCAAATGAATGACGTTACTCGGACCCTGTATGCGCGTTTCGGAAACGCAGCACACATCGATGGCGCGGAATTCTAAAGTCCTATCTAAGGAAGCCTGTTGTCCTATTTGGCACAGTGTTCGGACGTTAAAAGCTCCTACGTGGAGTTTAGCGCGTGGTGTCAGGAGACCACGAATAGCGTTGCGCAAACTCGAATCGTTTGCCCTAGCGGTGCGAGGTGAAAAGACGTGAGAAGGGTTAGTCGGGGAGATAAGAGAGTGGTATAAGGAGGTGTAGGAAGGATTTGAATGTGACCAACTTGGTCTCGTGTGCTGTTACGGGTATGAGGGCTGGTGTCACCTCCCGGCTGCCCACACCGTGGAAGGAGACCCTGGATCTCTCATCAGTGATTTCATTTGCCTCAAAAGCAACTATTAGGAAGGAAGCAATCAACAATAAGAGAGTTCATAAACTAGTGTTAATTTTGATTTCTCATCGTACATTTTCTTCCAGTATAGTATAGGAGAATGACAGAGACTATGTTACAGTCACCTTCATTGATATGTTTACAAAACCATCAACTGATTTACCTCTTTGTGGTAAAATAGACTTATGCGAACTTGCACCAGACTGTGTATTGTCCTTGGCTGACCGGTTTGCCTCAATACGTTCTAACTTGTTTACTGTACTATAAAAGCCTTTACTATCTGTCTCATGATATTCCTTTTATACCCACTAGATGATGTCGAAAAGGCAAAAATTGGAAAATCTTCAAAAATTAAATGTACAGATCATCAAGATTTCCACTCACTTTCTTCCCATAAATCATTAAAATTCACACAAAAAATATCCGCAAGCAGTTCACCGATATTTCGTCAAATAACTCAAATAGTACATCATGATAAATTATTGGATGAAATGACTAATCCAAATCACATTGATTCTTCATTTGACCAATTGGCCGTGAATCGATTAGCGAATAAAGCTATTATTGCTTTAGAAGAAGAAGTCAAGCGTTGGCAGCAAAGTAATATCAGATCTTTTTCTCAAACTACAGAAATAACTCAACATAGATTAGTATTTTATCCTTTTGGTCAAGCTAAAAATCGTTTCCTTTGGAATCGAAATGAATCAACTAGTTATGGTTATGTAAGTTCACAGTAATGAATATTTGATACATTTAATTATTCTTGTTTCTTATAATTAAAAACTAAGAATTCAGATTGGCGCTTTAATCTAGGTTATTTAAACTTCTCTCTTTATTTATTATTTTATAACTTGTGGCTAATAATTAGTGTAGAATTAAAAAAAATTGTTTTTTTTTCAATTTAGGTCATAGTAATAGATAAATTGTCAATTTTATTAACTCATGTTTTCATTCCACTAAACAAACTAAACACTTCGATAATGATAGAGAATTCTGATACATTGAGTAGATATATATAGTTATGGAATAAAAATATACTATTATGTAATTAACTGTAATTTTATTAAAATACGTTGCGAAATTTTACTAAGGGAATAAATGTTTTTCAGTTGGTTTAGTTGAGTAAGCATCCAATTGAAAATTTTTAAATCATTTCAATTTGATATGACTATTCGTATATGTGAAATTTTACAGTGATGTATAAATTCATCGACTGTTTACAGATTTCTTAATCAATCGAAACATGTTTAGAAAGTAATATTTACCATGCTTCAATTGTATATTGTTCAGTCTCAATGTATCGTTAATATTCCAATTCTATCTCAACTGAACGTCAAATTACACTGTTTAAACGAAGACAATAATAGTGGAAAGCTTATATATATTTGGAAGATTTTCCCTAGTTTTATTTTGAATTATGCCTTATAAATGATGTGTATTAGGCTACCAGATCTAGATCGTATCGAAAAGTTTAAAATAACAAAGTAATGATTTAAAATTAAACTAAATTTTAATAATTGTAGAGTGATTTTTTTTTTAAAAAAAACAAACAAACAATATACCCCAAAAGTGACTTTCTAAGATAAATATGTTGTAGTAAATTCACAATAATACGTTAGTATTGCCCAGTTGAAGTGGTTCAATTCCATAGAAACACAAATTTAAAGAAGCAGATTTAAGTTGGAAGTTTGCAGTAATCCATAGATCATTCAACCGTGAAATCTGAAGTGAATATTCGATTATTTACATTTGTATAGATTTTGATATATACGATTTTCAAGAAAATTTATTTATTTTAATTTTTAGATTCAACTTTTACAAGCATCAAGTGATTTTGAATGCTCAACTAAAAAAGCTTATAATGAAAATTCAGCTAATTTACATGTTAGATTTAGTTCAGAATTACTTTTAAGTCTTATACGTTCGCGTAAAATCATTCGTCATAATCATTTACACAGTTCATCTAGTACCGAATCAGTTGATTCTGTGTTAAATCATTCAATGCAGCGTCTTTGTGCTGAACTTATTCGAACACTTGGCAGTTCGAATACTGTTACAAGTGAATATTTAGCAATACATTTTAAATCTATTCTGAATGAGAACAATGATTGTGCTACAGTAAATATTCGAAATAACGCTACTGTTGTAAATAGAAGTATTACATCCCGACATTTTCGCTCTTTGCTTAAACAACTTGCAATAAGACATCGGTCAAAATGTGATCAATCTCAACTGGATTTACCTTCACGTGGTCGCTTGGATGATGTATGGACTTTGCGTGATAAATTTCAGTCTATTGCTAGTTATCTCTTAGTAAACTTGGCAGTGGCAGAAAGGTTGGATCAATGAAGCAACATTGTAATATATTGACACGATATGTTCATTGCTACCTCATACATTTGTATAGTTTATTTTAATACAGAATCTAATATGCACACTCCTAACTTTTATTTTTTAAATATAGAATTACTAAGAACGTGGTTTTCTTTCACTAATGTGTGAATATCAATTACTAGTTATCTCAAAAATTTTAGATGAACTTTTATTTTTAAAACCAGAAAATTGGTGCTAGAAATACAATGCCTTTTTAGTGCCTTTCCCAGAAAATATCGGTAAACCAAACCGTTATGTCCGAACAAAGAATAAATGAGTTGTAACTTCCAGGAGTTATTTATAACTTGTTGTTGTATATATATTCTTATCGTACAATTGCTAAGTAACTAAATCGTATAAGTTTACATTCCTTTTATCACAAATTTTCATTTGATCCATTGGATACTGTTGTACGATTTACTTTCCCTAATTTATTCCTAAGCTATTAGTTTGCAACCTGCTATACTCAGCTACATCTGGCTTGATCTTTCACAATAATTATTTTTCATTTTACAGTGTGATGCGATCTCGTATGCTTGTACATAAACAGCGTATATCTGAAATATACGATTTATATTGCGGAGGATTATATTTATGTTCTGGGCTGGGCGAGGAGCTGCTATACAGAGTATTAATAGTCTGAGAGTTGAATCAAGGCCACTGGTGTTGCTTGACGCACCATTGGTTTAGCACAGGGACTAGGTCACAGAAGTTGGTATCCCGATTAGGGATTTTGTCACGTGATATTTGACGGGTCAGAGGACATAATAGAAGTCAATGATGTAACGTAGTGACTAGATGGAGGCCAAAAAGGATATGACATTAGTGCATGAAGTCACTGATTGTTGGACTGAGATATGTAGGTAGGTACAAACTGTCTGGTTGGGGTCTATGTGTTTATCGTAACCACTTGTTAATGTCTTTGAGTGACATGGCTCGAAATCGTTTGTAATAGCGCAGATGCATTCACTATTTGTCTTCTCTTATATCGTAAGTTCCTAAATTTCTAATAGTTCTTTTTTGTCTCATAAGTATATATGTTCTAAAATCGTATCTTCGATCTCTAATCTTTTTTATTGCCACTGATTCATTTGTTACTTGTACTACGGGATTCGCCCTGACCTTGGTCTCTATATTTTCACTTTTATAACCATCCAGAGGTTATATTTTAAATTGATCGTAAATGAAGTATATTTCAGGTTTAATCATTCTGAACTTCTCTCCCGAAGCTGAGGTGTAGTGCTTGTATGGACTAATGACTCCTTTGTACTTGATAACTACCTGATTTCGAATTCCAAATACAATGCGTTCGTTTGTGCTCACCTAGTTCTTCTTGGTCTAAATTGCGTTATTCCTGGGATTCCTAGTTCGTATATTAATTCAGATACTTCTAATTATCATATGAAGCTTAGTGTTTTATGGATGGAGTAGGTAAGTTTTAGTTGTGCCTGTTAATAGAACAAGAACCTAGATATTGTGAATGTAATTAGTTGCATCTAAGCTACCTCCAAAATAAAAAGTGTTACTGTATATTAAACCACACGGAACTTTGTAATGGTTGTCTAATGTCAAGAAGGGTTTCTAATTATTTTCAGATTACACGGGCGTACAATTGAAATATCGCCCTTAAAGAAAGTCTCCAACGAAACAGTGAATACATTTGGGATTGCTCATATGCCTTGTTAATAAATGTCAACATGCATAAGAACTAGCATCGCATTCTTATTTCCAATTCAGCAGGTCGTGTTAGATCGACTGTTTTACAATATCTCGGTGTGGTCACTTATTGGGAATAAACTAAATATCTGGTCATTACTGCAGATCACTGGCTACCCAGGGGTAGATTTGTGCAATGGCGTGTCGAAGAAATTTAGGGGGAATGTTTAAAAACAAACTAGATATTTTACAATGGGTTTATTAAACATTTAACCAAACATCCGAATTCAACTCTAATTTTCTCGAAGCACTTGATATTCAAAATGCCGGTCTTATTGTCTGTATTACTTTTTTGGGATTTTGTGGCAAAGTTAACATCGTTGTACACAATCCGAGTGAAATTACGTTGATATTTTAATAATATTCAGACGGACTGTAAAGTTTTCATGTACGCTTCAGCTTGTTCTAACCATCTTGAATAATCTTCAAGCTGTTGACTTATCATGCTTTGCGGGAGGTTTCTTGGTGAATAAAGAGACTTCCCATGGTATAGTTTTGTTCTAACTGTATTCCAGTCACTAGATATCCTGTTCCAATTTGTGACAGTATATCTTGATTTGGACATGTCGACTATTGACAAGTGTTTCACTAGGTTTTGTGATATAGAATTACTGATGGGAACCAAGTTTTCAACATGGTTTGTTTTAAATACTAAAGAGTTTGTACTTATGGCATTTGTTTTTGTCTCTGTACAGGTGTGTTTTTTACTCAATAGATAATCATCGCTAGAATGTGGTCGTTTATTTTTTGTATTAACCGACAAATTAGAATTGTATGAAGGATATTCATTAAATGTAACTTTATTATATAGACTAGTATTCACGTAATCCTGTTGATTAATTTCACGCGGTTCTAAAAATATAAGTAGATTATTATTTCCCATTAACGCTCTATCCCTGCAAAAAGTGATCTTATATCTGCTATCAATATCATATAGGCGTTTTTCGATTTCATTACACCAGTTAACTAATTCGTTTTGCATTGAACATAATTTGTAACTTGCTCCTAGTACTTCCTCATGATTTTGTTCCATTTTCTTTAATAATTTTGTCATACACTCTGATCCTGTTTTGGTTTGAAGATGCTTATGGACTGAACTATCGCTGTCACAATTGCCGGTATTTTTAATATTCATTGATTCTTCCGATCGTCCGTATACCGGGTAACCTGTTGACGTATTTTGTTTGATCTTTATTTTACAACAGTTGTTTGAGTTTGTTTCATTTTGCAATGTTTCTGAAAATCCATACGATTTAGTCACATTTCGTGTTTTGGATCTTATTCTGTTAGTTAAGTCTTCAGAATTACTTAATAATGAAAAATTCAGGAGGTTTTCATCAACTTGACTAACCAGCGCCAATTCTGTATTCTCTTTGATTCGTATTGCTTGCAGTTCACATGCTGATTCATACTGGACACCTGTGCTTTTCCTAAATTGATCATCGTTATTTTCAGAAGGCTTGGGTTTGGAAACTAAAGGCTCATTTCCTGTCCCACTTAAGTTTTTGAAGACTGGGTTTTCATTCGTAAGCTTTAAATTGTGATTATGAGTAGTATTACTCCACGAAGTACCATTATCCTGTGTCCGGTTACTGATTGGCTTATTATATGTTTCTATGTGGAGTAGCTTAAGGCCATGACAAGGACCACATGACTTTTTATGTTGAGGTTTTTTTAAGTACTTTTGCTTTCTATCAGTTACGTTCGTGCAGCTTTTATTTTTTCTGCATTCTAATACCATATTCTTATAATAAACATCACAAGGATGGTCCCACGTAGACTGACCTGTGAAAAAATTGAAGTAGTATATATCCCCATTGGTATTCATACAAGGTTTCCAACCAACCGGAAGCGGGGCTTTGATCCCTTCATATACTAAAGGATATAATTCTGGTTCTCGTTTCAGATTAATTCCCAACCATTTAGCATAGCTTACGATTTCTGATTTAGTGAATCTGCAGCGTTGATACTTTTCTTCTAATATAATTTGTCCATTAGTACAAACTGTCATGAAATTGGATATCTTGTTTGTTTGTAGCTTAATTTAATTTCTAGAAGGAAATAAGAAAATTTATCAAAAATGAGGTATGTATATCGTACGTTTTGAATAAACATATAAAATAAGTGCAATCTAGAATCATTGTACTGATACATTTCATTTGTTCAGTATTGTTCATCTGTGCGCGATGTTTTGTAACCTTAGTTTCCGAATATGCATATTTACGTATGTCGATGTTAGTAAGCTAACTGGTTTCTGACAAGTACCAAGCTAAAAATATTAGTGACATAAATGACTTCTTGGGTATTGATCTCCTTCCAGGAGGTCCACTTATCGATTTAGAATACGCAGATGACATAGTCCTGTTTGGTGAAGATTCTGATAAAATGCAGTGTTTTGGTAGCACTAAGCAACAATGCCAGAATGATTGAAATACGCTTCTCTACCTCTAAATGCAAGTTGTTGCTTCAGGACTGGTCTGTATCAACACCTGAACTAAGGATAGGGAGTGAAGTAGTCGAACGCGTAGACAACCTTACTTATTTGGAAGTTTGATAGGCCTAATTGGTTGGTGTCTGACGAAATCTCAGCACGGATTCGAAAAGCTCGTTTGGCTTTTGCCAACTTACGTCACCTATGGCAAAGGCGAGATATCCGTCTATCAATAAAAGGACGAGTATACTGCGCGGCAGTCCGTTCTGTTCTACTTGACGGCTGAGAAACGTGGCCATTAAGAGTAGAAGACACTCGTGAGCGACTAGTATTTGACCACAGATGCCTTGGAAATATTGCTCGCAACTCCTGGGATCACCGGGTAAGTAATAGGGGTTAGACTCAGGGTATTAGGATATGATGGTAAATCAGTCGATGAGGTTGTGAATCTTCATCGACTGAGATGGTTGGGCCACGTGTTACGTATACCCGAACACCGATTACCACGACGTGCAATGCTAACCGGTGTTCGGGATGGTTAGAAGGAAGTTAGGGGCGGCCAAACCAAAACGTGGCATCAGTGCTTGAAGTAACTAGCTTCTAGTTTGAGCCATGTTTTTAGATGCAGACTACTTGGTTGGGGTCCGCGTGACTATCGTAACCAATGGTTGGAGACTCTCGGTGACATGGCTCAGAATCGATCACAATATCGTAGGTGTATACACTCTCTATCTTCTCTTAAACTAAGAGATTGAAATCGCTTTATACCTTTCTTTCTACGAACTAATTCTTTCTTCCTGTACTGTGTCCTTATATGCAATCTTTCTTTTATATATTACCACCACTGAATTAACCACTTCTATGAATCCGGTGACCATCTTGTTGTGCTAATGAGGTATGGCAACTTGGACCGACGCATATATGTGCCTGGATCTACGTTGTAGCTGACTGACTGACTTTAAGGTTATATTACTTCAGTGATATGTAAAACAGCTTTCTCTGCACTTATTTTGCAGGGTTCGAGAAGCAGTAGAGGATACACTAACTCCAGAGTACCTTACGGAGTAGTTGTTCAGTTTTAGCAGTTATATTGTCCCACATACCGACTAGAGTTGAGGATCTGATCATATCCTAATCTAATTGGTCTCGGTTGCTAATTATAGCATTTTATTAAAAAGGACTAATATTCCCTTATGATAATCGCAGAGGGGCTGGTTTAACTAAAATAATGTCTAAGATATTAGACTCCATAAGTAATCGATGCGGTGTTTAGTTAAGGATCGTAGATGTCGATCACAGAAAGACAACGTTGGTTTCAGTTCTGAAACTAGACATATTGACCAAATACATATCTTCCATCAGATTCTGGAATGTAAGTGTATTCAGCGTCTCTCGACGGCAGTTGTTTTTTGACGTGACGTAAACGTTTGCTTCCTGTACAGCGATGGTCTATGGCAGTGTTTGGCATTAATAGATGTACCAGAAAAGTACAACGTGGAACCATGTTATTACTAAATAATACCAGTTCTATTAACAGATTTATAACGTAATCGAATTCGAAGAATTCACGTGTCTGTGGATACATAACGAAAAAATAGTTTTACTGCTTTTGCCTACTTTTAATCAGGTACTGAGTGATCGACTGATGATACAAAGTAGTGTAAAGTGAATAATCAAAATAATGCATATACAAAACAATTATCAACCTCTCTTTAAACATTTGTTAATAAGTGAAAAGAGACCAAAGTAGAACGTGAATTCAAATGGTTGTAGAAATCTGAACTGGTCTTTATTGCCTAGATTACCATAGGGAGTGAAGCATTTTGTTGCTTCGACCACTTTACTTATATTAGATACGCGGATTTAGAAGAGTCAGTTAGCGCATACCGGATATCAACACTTTCGATGTTGGCGATATAATTATTTACCAACGAATGAGCGTATACGTCCCGCAATAGTCCACTTCATATTCATCCATCGAAGTATGACATTGTCTTTGAAAGTAGGAAAATGCGCATGGTTTGCTTTTCTGACTTTGAGGTCTTAGTCATATTTTGTGTAACGGTTGAGTGAACAATGCTGTAGTTAGTCATGGGCCACCAGATAAATATGGCAAGTTAGTGGGTATTCAGCAATCAAGGTGCTTTGAAATTGTG